TGACACTGTCCACAGTGAAGCTCCTTGCACCCACTCCAAGGCTGGTAGTGAATGTCATCTCAATGGTGTTAAAGAAAAAAGAAGGAAGGGAGGGAGGGAGGAAAGAAAAAGAACAGGGGCCATGCCTGTTATTGTTCTGGAGATATTATTGTAGAGTATGATATTGAAGAATTAACAAAAATGGAAAGTTAATTAATTCAGTGGCACCTCAAGTGCCCTATGGTACTATGGTGAGAGGGGGGAAAAAACTTTTTTTCTAGTTTAAATTAAGGTTTCTCGATTAACAACAACAACAACAAAAAAGGCAACTCCCCTTCAGCAGGCAGTTGCTCCAGCGCTTGCTAGTCCCCATATGGGCATGTCCTGAAGCCTGCTTAATAAGTACATTTTATGAACATGCACCGTGCATTAGTGTGCTTTCTGCTAAGACGGATGCCCCTGAAACAGGTCTGTTTACTCCACCCGCACGGAACATTTGCCTTATTATAGCCATGGTCTTTGGAGGGGGGGGGGGGTAAAGGCTGCATCTTGACTTCCAAAAAGGGAGTGACATTTGGGGCAGCTCTCGTCCTGTGCCCTCTCCGTCTTCGCGGGCGCGCCCAGCACGGCGGGCGGCGTCAGGGTCCTGGCAGGCGCGACCCGGCTGCTGCTGACGCGCGTTTGATCTTTTCTGGGCCGCAGGGCTCGCCGCCCAGGGCTGGTGCGCACGGGCCCGCGGCCTCGCCGGCGGGAGCCGGGCCTCTGCCTTTATTTGGTTCAGCGCGCGGGGCTGGCGTCAGAGCCTCCACGTGCCTCCCGGCCGCGGTCCCCTAATTATAGCAGTGGCAGCTGCGCGGGCCCGGCTGGCGCTTGGGGACTTGCTGGGGCGGGGGCGGGGGGGCCGAGCGGGGCGGCCGCCGCTCCCGGGTCCCACCGCCTGGGACCCCGCCGCCAGGCTCCACTGTGCGCAAAGCGGACGCGGGGTGAGGCGCTGCTCGGCCCGGCGCGCGCAGCCCAGGAAAAGTTCTAGAATCCGGGGCATGCTGGAAGCCGCCGGCGGTGGAAGTAAGGTCGCCTCTTCCCTCCGGTAAACACGGCCCGGCAGCGCTGGCAGCTGTTTTCGTCCCCAAAGGGGCGGGGGGCGGGGGGGAGGGCGGGAGGGGGCGGGGAACCCTCCCGAGCAACAATGACAAGTTAAAAAACAAAACAACTACAATTTGACCACTCTGACCTCGCCTCCGGTGTTTTCAACTAGCCTGTGATTTGTGTGAAGATAGTGGCTCCCGTGTGATGGGTGCACTACGAGTGACCTTGGACTTGGGACTGTGCTCCCAGGTCGGAAACCAACCAGGTCCCAGGTGCACGTGCTAGCAAGACTCACTGGTCCGGGGGAGAAGTTACCCTAATTCTGTTTCCCAGCCCCCTGGAAGGAAACAAGCTCTTGGGGGTGGTGCACTCTTGTCAGGAGGCGCCCTTGTCACTAGCTGACCTGCCTACCTGTGGCGGACCTTCGGCGCCAGAGCCCATAGGATGTGCCTCACTTAATGTAAGTGTTAGATAGTAACAGCGACAACCACGTGGGGTTGATTGAGGGAATATTATTCCAGAACTTCTCTCATGCTTGTCACCCTCCTGTGAAAATCTGGTTTTGATGATATGTGGGGTATATTAAATCTTTATCTTCTGTCACACACACAAAGCGAATTGTAGTTGGGAGGCACAGATAATAAAAACGGGGCAAGAGGCTTCTCGTGTGGGTTAAGGCACCCAAGGCCTTTTTCTGCTTGGCAGCAGACACAGCCTCCGAGGCTCCGGAGAACGAGGCCCTCAGCCAAGGCCGCATGTAAAGAAACGCTGACTTATTCAGACCTGGGCAGTCCCCACTCCTAGTGTCCACTTCTCTGCAGAACTCAGTCCTATGGTCAATGTTTTTACATCATACGCTAAAAGAAGGTGCATCTCGGCAACGAGGCTCACTTTTAAAGTCTTTCCACGCATTGAAAGGAATTTAGACCCTGACTGCCAGTGAAATGTTTATGAATTTTTTTCCTGTCGATACAGCCATTTACAGTTCAAATATGGAATACAGTTCAAACAGGAAAGATGTTTTCTAAATGGCAGAAAAGTAGGCAGCGACCTTACCCTTCGTCAGCCAGCGTCGTCACCCGAGCACCTACACAGCAAAACACGCCTCGTGCTGTGCGGGATGCCTGTCCCCTCACGGGCGTCTGGATGTTCACTGATGGCAACGACATGGTAATTACTAAGGAAAAGGGGTAAGTGATGGGGCCTGCAGGTGATGTAACACTGCTCATCTCCCCGCAAATATAAACTATTTTTAGAAATATTCAAATGTGGCATTAGTACTCCCTGCTGGCTGTCTTATCTCAGCATCAAGGGCTTCTGCTGAATGGCTTGGAGGCTCTTCAGGTTATGCAACCTAACTTCTAAAGCCCATTCAAAGGATGAGACCAACCAGGGCACGGATGCCTGCGATTACACAGCAAGGGCGGTGCCAGAACGTTGGAGTCCGGTCTCCAGACCCCAGCTGCCCTAGGAGGAGGTCACCCGCGAGGATTTCATGGCTGATTTTGTGATAAATTTTACATGCCCCAAAGACTCGTATTATGATTTTGAGTTTTAAAGGGCTAATCTACATTTTTTCCAAATCAGTTGTATTATGGAAGAAACTTTATACCATTGTAATAGGGTTGTTCTATTAAGGAGATTTCACTCAATTCTCAATCTGGTTTTCAGAAACAAAATGAAATAGCTTTAAGACCCAATGTCTAAATGATGCCAAGTAATGATTTGCCTATGGTATACTTTTTGTCCTAAAATAACTTTCTGTGGCTTGAACAGATTGTTTTATGCTGCTCAGTGCCACGAAGGAGTACACACTATTCCGTGATAAGGACCACTGCAGGCATGGATTTCATGTTCTGTAACTAAAAAACAACAAAGGGAGTTAGAAAAGCTGTTTTCAGTTGTGTTGTGTTGTCATGAGGAAGGAGCAGGGAACAGACATGGGTTTACACGAAGTTTCACTGTTAAATTAGGTACAAATTAATTTAATGGTAAAGAGGGATAGTGTGGATATCCCTAATTATGGATTTATCGGGGGGTTAATAAAGAAATCCATAGATAACCCATAAACCCAGTCATTTGCCATCTCCCAACCCCTTAATTTACAAATGGACTTTTTGTATTTCTTTGTGCCTTTTAAATTACTCTGAGGAATTCAAAACTTTTGAGGAAAATGCAGGCTGTCAACAGAAACAGCAAGGTAATTGAAAACCTGGGAAGTCACACCCACAATTTTTATTGGATTGTAACCACTGGTATCATAATCAATACTGTTGCTGTCGGAGGCCTAACCAGCAGCACTCAAGGAGTTAAACAGCATCCCCAGCCCCCTCATTTCTAGAACCTCAGAGGGTGAAGTAGGTAAATATGCACTCTATTCTTTGGTGACTCTGAACTTGGTCTGTGACAGGGTAAGGCGTGTCTTCTCACACTGTTCCCATGAAGAAAAGGCAAGCCAATGAGAGTGACTCAGGACTTCTAGTGGCCTCACACACAACTGAGTGTTTTTCTGAATGATTCCACGTATACACTTTGGAATCAGGAAGAGAAACATTTTACTCTTCACTAGCCAAATAAAACCATCTATAAATCATATGCAAAACGATTTTGAGTAACAAGGGACTTAAAAGTTGTTCCATATTTTCCCTTTAACTTTTTTCCCCTTTAGGGTATAAACAAAGACATCTGCTGCATCAAGACTCTGTTGTTTTGTTTTTTTCTAAACTGGAAACTGAATGCAATCCTAAGTTTACTTTGGAAGGAGCTTTTGAAATTTAAAAATGACTTCTACAAGCTGTACCACTTTAAATTTCAGTAAAAATAAAATCTAGCATTTTTAAGTTAAAAAAGGTTAATATTTCTTTTAATTATGAAACATTGTGTTGTGTATTATAATCTGTAATTAACTTAGAATACTGTTTGTTGAAAACTGCCTTAGACTACTAAAAACCATTATTAAAATATAGTGATCAGTCCCCTAAGTTACTGGACCACCCCTAATGAATTTATATCCAACTACACATTAACTGTTGCTATTTACTTTAAAACACAGCGTGTCTAAGCCCTGGCTGGGTAGCTCCACTGGTTAGAGCATCATCCCAATACGTCCAGGATGTGGGTTCGATCTCTGGTCAGGGCACACATAAGCAGCAAACAATGAATGCACAAAAAACAAATCAATGTCTCTCTTTCTCCAAAGTAATAATAATAATAATTTTAAAAACATAGGTTTATGCATGACCGCCCTATCCTCTAACTCCTTAGAGAAGTTGCATAACTTCCTTTCATAGAAAAGTCTGCTAAGCCATTGATCAGTAAAGAGTAAAAGCTGCAGACACCTAGAAATTTCTTACTATGTGATAGGAGAGCAGAGTTTATAAATGTGTCTCCTGATTTCCGCCTTTCATCTCTAATGATTAATTCCGGTGTCAGGATATCAATAAAGCGCCTACGTGGCGTTCTGTGACTCCACTCCAAAGCTCTGTGAAGGGCAGGCTCTTCCCTCTCTTTTGTCTTCGGTGCCTGTCATGCCTGGGGCCCCACAGGGCTGTCTCCCTCCAAAGCTTTCCAGAGAGCAGCTCCGTGTCTTGACAGTCTTTTCGATGTCGTCACTATTTTCTCCTTCCAACCTACTATTGCAGCATGGCTGGCTCTACTGCAAGTTGAACAATAAACAAGTGCTTTCTGGCTGTACTTTGCTCCGCTCCCCGCTTCATGTTTACCCTATCCAGTTGCCCTTTCCCCAGCCCCTGGCACTTTTTTTTCCCCTCCTACCATCAGTTGCCTTTTCGTTGTGTCTTTTATCTCCTGTTCTGCAGTTCCAGTCAAACCCCAACCCCAAACCCACACATCCTTGAGTCGCATTGCCATTAGTGATTAAAGCACCAGCCATTCTGACCTTACTTTAAAAAATTAAAAAAAGGCCTCAGAAAATGTTCAGTGCTCCCAATTTTATTTTTATTTAATGCTAAAAGTTAAAGAAAAAAAAGTACTGTAAATCTGACAAATGACAGAATGCAGGTGATATTTCCACAGCGTGATTTTAAAATATAATAATGTTGATATCTGAGATTACACTCACTTCAGTTAACATGAGTTTCATCATATATAGAAAAAGTATCACCTTCAACTTAAAAAAAAAGTAAAGGTTAAAAGGTGGCACACTTTTTAAAATACTTGGCGGCCAAGGAAAGGTATATAATAAAAGTTGTAAACCATGTGTATGTTCTCATAACTTTTAATGTGAGGCCACATGAAAGACAGTACATCTGTTAAATCCTATAAATCGGTAAAGCAAAAAAGGGAAAGCTTCAACACCCATCCCCTAATATTTTGAGTATTAAAAGCACAGCTGAAATATTAGGATTTGAAATCTGATACTGCCCATGTACAGTAAGTAGCTTTCTGACATTCTTATCCAGCTGGGGAGCATCTCTGTACTGTCATCGGGCACCACAAAAGATCAAGCCCATGTCCCCGTGTTAACTTTTTAACTTAGGAGAATGCCAGAAAAACAACCCAGATCAACACTTTCCAGCTGCAAGTCTTCCACGAAGGCCACCCAGGGGCCAGGCCGACTGATGGGAATCGCAGTTTTTAACAGGAGTAACCTCCACACACAGCCCCTGAAAGCTGTGCGTTTTCTTCCTCTTAACCATCATCAGCACAGAGAAGGGTAGGCTGTCTTTTCCACAGCTGGATAAACTTATTCAAAACAGCAGGATGGTTCTTCATTGTTTTTTTGGAAAGCTATCTGCATTAAGATTGCAAAACATACAGATAGCTACCACAAATTAGGTCAAATGACTGATAAACTTGTAACATCGAAGAGGTCAAATTCCAGTTTATAATAAAGTGCCTAGATACACATTTATACAACAGACCATAATAGTTGAGTTCCTTACAAATGTCTTTATGGGCATGTAAAACTGACTCTGTTTCTGCATGTGTACATTTACATAAGAGAAACCAGTCTGATCTGAGTCATAGCTACCCCAATTAAAAAAAAAAGTAATAACAAACTGGTTAATCATGCAAGTCTGTTGGTCATATAACAATGACTTGTAACATGAATTTGCACAGCATTAATAGGTGCACTCATTAAAAACACTACGAAAAATACTGTATTTGGTGCAGTATCTGATTTTCAAGTGTTAATAACCCGACCATTAAAAAATATTTGAGCCATTTTAAAAAGACAAAAACAGAACTAAAAAATAACCCAAAGTGGCTAACAATCTATATTTTCAAATTAAAATAGAAGCTGGGTTGTGAACGATACACATAAGTTGTAATAGACCTTGAAGCGATGATTCAGCCTAATTATAGGGCCAAGTTACAAACACCTGAACATAAAACGACTTAAAATAGTGTTCCTGTGGATGTTAAAACAGCACAAAAGAAAAACCAGTATCGCTCTGAGACAACTATTTCTAATAACTGATGATTTATTGGTTTAAAAAAATCATTTTACTGATGCAAAATAGTGATCAAAAGAAATGTTTACAAAAGGCTTCTAAAAATAGTTTGAGAGGTGGGGCCTGTCTATTATGTAAAACCTTTTCTTTAATTTTCACTAGTTTCTCATTTTTCCCCAGAAGAACTGTATTATTCACTTGGTATTTCAAACACACGTAAGAAGGAAATTACAGGCTTCCTCCACCCCCTCGGGGCTGTCGCTGGTGCGCCCACGGGCAGTCCTGGCAGCACCAGGTGCTGTTACTGTCACTGTACCACGCTGTAGTCAGCACTCCTGAGACACGGTGTAGCTGAGAGCATCAACAGCAATAGCACTACAGGTAAATGATCAAAAAACAAAACACAAAACAGAAACGAAAGCAATCCCACAATCTCCAAGTTCACCTGGACTGTAACTTCTCTTGCAACGCTTTTCCAAGGAAATGACAACAGCAACAACAACAGAGCTCCGGGGTGTTTACAAGGATGGAGTGGCGCTGCAGAGCCCGGCCCTGCTCAAAGATGGCAGTGCCACCTCGTCCACGCCACCATCGCCACCGCCTTCTGTCACTGAATTGTGTATTATGTAACCAACTAGCATGCAGCATTATAATCTTACAACTGATTACGTGGGCGGCGAACAGTGGTCAACTTCGCCTTCAAGAAAAAATTCCCCTCAAAACCAGTCCCAAAAATCTCTCAGCAGCAACTCTCAGGCAGTCCTCAATGTCCCAACAACTGAACTTTAAGAACAAAAGAGAGAAAGACTCAGTATCTAATGTTCTGGGGTAAAACTGGTATTTCCCAGTGGCGTGCCCACTTCACAACAGTGCCCCTTGCACTCACTTCCTTTCCTTCTCCACCAGTTGGCCTCCAGCCTGAGAAAGGGGCCAGCAACAAGGAATAACAGACAGTAAGGCAATCTTACAATGTCAGAAAATGTATTTGGCTTTTTTTTTTTTTTTCTTTTTAAAGTAAGTGCATACAAACACAGCTAGAAGCATTTCGGGTTTTGCCAAGTGCTCTAAAAAAGCAGCGCAAGTCACAGCCTACATTGAACGGTAACTGTCACCAGGATAATAAAGCACAGAGATATGCTAATAACGTTAACAAAAGAAGAAAATGCCTTTTTAAGTACATACCTTTTGTCGTCAAAAAAAATATAGAAACACAATGTATTCAAAAAATCAAAATTATACAGCCATGTTTATGAAGTCTACATTTCCCTTGTCTTGGATATATATATATATGGAGATATATATACAATTCAAGCAGTTTTAGTTAAGGGTAATGATTGGGTTTTTCTGAAACTGGAAAGTCACGAGTCTCTTTCTTTTTTCACTTTCACATCTCCAGCAAGGATGGTTGCGATCTCCCCTTGCATAAAGGCCCAGGGGACATTGGAGCCCACAAGAGGGCATTTTTCCCCACTGGGACAATAGACCTCTCCACTAGCGCCCTGCTGTTTGATGCTCTGTCTGGAGCAAGGGAAGCAGAACTTGTGTGACGGGACCGACGGGCACTGCACAAAGTGGGTGTCCTCCAGCCGCTCGTGGCAGAGCGTGCAGCACAGGGGCGCGCTGGCTGCCAGAGAGGAGTCCGGGAGGCCGGCGGGGTGCACTGGCTCCAGTCCTCCCGTGCCGCCTGCCCCCGGGCCCCCCACCTCTCTGGGGCCTAGCCTTCTTTGGTTCATTGAGGACGGAGAGGGTGGGCTGCTGCTATTCCTCCTGGTCGTGGAGTGAACCTGGTTGGCATCCTTCGAGGCGTGACTGCCCCCTGCATTGTCTGCTACTAAGATCAGGGCTGCCATGGGGGACTGGCCATTCTGGGCTGCTTCAGGCGGTGTGGTCCGGTTGGAATGAGGTGAGGCAGTGGGTGGCGGTGGCGATACAAAAGAGGATGTGGGATTGATGGGGATCTTGAGCCCTTCGGTGGACGTGGACAGCCACGGCTGTGCCTCTCCGTTGAGTTTAGGGGGCCCGACTTCACCTTCTGGCTCTGGAGAGGGCTTCCTTTTCCTTGCTGTTCTTGCAACTGAAAAAAACAAGCAAATAAAAGGAAAAAAGGAGGAAATAAATGAACACGCACTGAAAAAGATTAACTAACATGAAACAAAACTCACTAAAGCGGTTCTACCATCTAAAAGCCTGTATCTAAAAACACATGAGTTTCAAATACACGTGCAAGTTAAAACACTTATGGGCTGGCTCTGAGGCTCGACAGCAGTTTTTAAAATGCCTCAGAAAATGGCTCATATACAACTGCCTGTTTCTACACATGCATGCTTGTCCCCAGATTTAACTGTGAATGTGAGTGTTAAGGTCCCCCAACAGGTTAAAAGGTGACTGGTGCCCTCCTGCTCCCATCCAAGAATGTGCTGGGAAAGGAAAACCCTGTGTCAGTGCCTATCAGCCCAGTCTGACTCATCTCTGTTGTGCTGCTTCAGCACATGAACACGTTGCCACTAAGCACTGGTTCCGCCTGGGGCAGAGCAGGAAGTTGGGTGTTTGTTGTTTCTGGGCTAGGGTAAAATGGTGAATGGAATGAGAACACCACCCCCCACCCCACCACTGCCAAAGTTCTCCGTCCCTTTCTCCCCTAGATCCCCTCACTCCACTGCCGCCCCTACCTGCTTTAGACCCGTTGGCCCCGTTGGCCTCGAACCCCAACAACCTGCCTGCAGTCAGGGCCGGCTCCTTCTTAAACTTGCTCTCGAAGGGCCCCGAGTGGCCGTGCTGGTGCAGCGCCAGCAGCGTGTCCCGCACGGTCTTGGGTCGGTTGACCCAGTCTTGCTCTCCGGACGCGCGGCCTTTGCCCGCGCCCTCCGCGCCCAGCTCGGAGGCCCCAGCGGCGGAAGACAGGCTGTCGGCCGGGCCGCGGTGTGCAGGCGGCGGCGGCTTCTCCTTAGCCGCCGCCTCGCGCTGCTCGTGCTCCGCGGCCGCGCAGCTCGACACGGACGCGGGCCGCTTGTGCGCGCCCAGCTCGGCGGGCGGCGCGGAGCTCAGGCTGGCGGCTGCAGCCCCGGACACAGCGGCCAGCGAGGCCGCAGCTCGGCCACTGAGGCCGAGCGCGGCTGGCAGAGGCGCGGCCGAGCCGTTCATGAGCGGCACGAGCGTGGGCGGCACGGCGTGGCCGCGCCGCGGGTTCGGGCTCTGGCGGTTCAGCTCCGGCGGCTCCTCCAGCTTGGAGAAGCCGTTGGGCACCAGAATGCCGTTCACGGGCGGCGGCTGCGGCGTCGGCGGCTGGGCCAGGCCCGCGGCCGGCCGGGCGCCCCCAAAGTCGGGGCCCAGGCGTGGAGGCCGTTCGGCGGCGGCCAGCGGGTAGCGCTCCAGCGCCTGCGGGGCGCGCGGGGCCGCCTCCGGGCCGGCGTGGCCGAGCTGCTGCTGCTGCTGCAGGAGGAGGTCCTTGGCCGAGAGCGGCGGCGGCTTGGCTGCAGCCGGAGCGGCGGCGGCGCCGGGCGGGGAGCGGCCCTCCGGGAAACAGCCGTGCGCCCGCTTGAGCTGCCGTGCCGTCTCGATGACGAACTCGACGCGGTCGGCACCCTCGTAGTTGACGCAGCCGCGGCACACGGGCTCCGTGAAGTCCCAGATCATGGCCCAAGGCATGCGGGGCAGATCACACAAGTAGCACGACTGCCGCCGGGACGCGGCCGCCACCGCCACCGCCGCGGCCATGTCCGCGGAGCCCGCGGAGGAGGGGGCGCCGCCGCTCGCCGCCGGCCCCGCGCGCGCCCTCCTGCCCCCCCAACCCCGCGGCTCCCCCACCAGCGGCGGCGGCGGCCGCAGGGGCGGCAGGGGCGGCGGCAAAAGCAGAGCCCGCGCGGGCTCGGCGCCCGCGCAGCGCCCCCGGGGCACGAGGGGCGGCGGGCGCGGGGCGAGGGGCTGCAAGCGCGGCAGCACGGCCCCCCGGCGGGCGCGGGCGGGCGGCGGGCGCGACGGCGGGGGCTCGGCCGGGGCCGCGGCAGGCCTCCAGACCGGAGCGAAGACGGGCCGCGCGGGCGCGGGCGAGCGCAGCAGGTCGCGACGGCGGCGGGCGCGGAGTGCGGGGCGGGGGGCGGGGAGGACGGGGGGCGGGGGCCGGGGGGCGGCCGCCGGAGCAGGCTCAGCCCGAGCGGCGGGGCATGCCGCGCCGGAGCGGCGGCGGCCGGGCGGCGTGGAGCCGGAGCACGGCACGAGCCCCGCGTCGCTCCGCTGCTCCCTCACAGCTCCGGGCGTCGCCGCTCTCCAGCGCGCGCGTCAGCGCCCAGCCCGCCTCAGCTCCGCCGCCGCCGTCGCTGCTGCTGCTGCCGCCGCGCTGCTCCACTTCTACAGACTTGATTCTTCGACAGCCTCGCACAGCGCCTGCGCGGGCTCCCTCCCCTCGTGCGCGCGCGCCTGCCTGCCCTGCCCCGCGCGCACCCGCGCGCGCCCCTCCCCCGCGCGGAGACTCCTTGGAGAGCCTGCTTCGTGCCTCGCGGGTCGCGCGTCTCAGCTGAAGGCGCTACAAGTGCGGTCCGTTCTCTTGTAATCGCCCGGCGACTTCAATTCAGTAGGGACTCCCTCTACCTTGGCCCGTTTGGATAAAATCGTGTTTTTAAAGGGGGGCTACTTTGTGATTTGGTTCTAACTGTACTGTCTGTAAGCACCGTGGCTCACAGGGTTTTTTTAGGAGTTAGGCTGTTCAGTAGTGCTTTACACTCGCCTGTGTCTTGGGGCGGGGTACCCGCCGCCGACCCCCTTAAGTTTTTCTAACACTGAAGAACGACTTCCCAAGCCTGGGACCTTCTGGACAGGGGCCGGGGCGAAGAGCGACCCCCGAGACCGAGCTCTCCTGTCTGCTATACCTTCCCTTTTCACCGAACGCGGTCCTCGCGGCGCCAGCACCCGGCCGCTTATGTAGGTCTGAGGCGGGCGCGTGACGTGGGCGCGAGGCCGAAGCCCGCGTGCGCCGCTGCCCAGTGCGCACGCTCCGCGCGGACGTGACTCGGCGGTGCTGGCGCTGGCGGCCTCATTGAGCGAACGCACATTCCAGGGATCCGAGCCTGCGGCCAGCGCGCTGCGTCACTGCGCAGCCCCCGCCCCTCGGCGGCCCTGCGCTTCCAAGCCCCGCCCCCCGGCGGCCCTCCTTCTGCAGGCCCTGCTTCTGGGCCCCGCGTTGGTTCGAGGTGGTTTGGCGTGGCGCGGGCCGTGGGGCGAGCGGCTGGCCGCGCCGCCGCTCGCGGGCGACGTCTGGGGTGGGCGCGGATGTGCGCGCGCCATGCGGCCCGGCCCAGGCTCAGCGCCGGTGGGGGAGTCCGCCCCCGGCGTGAACAGCAAGCCCGGCGCGCCCTGCCATGGTTGGCAGCCCCTGCTCTGCCCGGGCTGAACTGAGCACTTGAGTTTCACACTTGCATCAGGAGGAGGAGCTGGTGTGTGTTATAGTAAATCACTTTTGGCCGGTCGTTAGTCTTACTGACTAATAGATGCAGCCTTAGTCACTCTCAGTTGGGACTTTGACACTTCAACTCTGCAAGGACGGCCCCCGGAGCCGCTTTTGTTGGAAGACGGACCCACATGGCTCCTTGAGACTGGAATGAGCTGGTTAAGTGTGGGAAGAACAGGGTACTAATTATATTATCTTTCCTACCGCTGGATTGGTAGGTGGAGAGAGAAAAAAAATCGTGCTGACGTTTCTCTCTAGTTGTTGCTATTGAAAATGCCAGGTTGCTTCAAAGGATTAACCACAAGGAAGAGGAAAAACACCCTTAGAAAAACAGTGGAGGGAGCTGCTTAAAGCACATGAAAAAACCTGTCCGCAGTGGCACAGAAAACGTAATGCCAGACCTAAATGTTTTTCAGGCTAACGCTGAACCTCTTCTCTTGGGGATTTCCAGAGAAGGTGCGCTTGCCATGGAGGTCTCCCCCTGTTCCGGATCCTGCCTCGCAGTTGCAATGCTGCCTGACGCCTGCCTAGCTGGGGAAGCACCTGGGGACAGTGGGTTTGGTAACTCCCAGTCCCTGCGGTAGTCCCTCTTTGGGGGACCTGTCCCTTTGGTCACTCTCCATGGAGAATGTGCCGCGTTCTAGCACATGACTTGGCCCATCTGGTCCAAAGGGGATGAGGCCTAGTCTTTGTGCCACAGAGAGATGAGCCATCTCAGCAGCCCCAAGAGATGGCCCCACTAGGCAGCCACAGAAACATTACAAAACTAGGTGTTAGAGCCATGGCCTAATTATACTCATTTACCTGCAAGCGGCACTAATGCCCTCAAGGGAAAGCCCAAAGTAGAAATACTGAAAGGCAAGCTCTGCCTTGGGAGGTACTAAGTAAGGATTTCTGTAGAACAGAGCTTTTCTTCTCCAAATGGAAGGCAGTTCCTTCTTATTCTACACTACCAGTTTAATGTTGAAACAGGGCTGTGTAACTTCCCTAATGAAATACCCTTAGGAAAATGGAAAGGCTAGTTTATGGTCTCTCTGGCCATAAAAGGATCCAGGATCAAGGGGGTTAAGGCTGGCGCTGGATCCTGGGCAGCAATTCCTTATATTGTATCAAGTCTTTCCTGCTGCCTGGCCTTTCATGTAGCTCTGAAGCAGCTTTATCGATGTATGCTAAGTAAACACAGCTTTGTTTTTGTCTCCCACCCCCGCCGTCCCTCCCAGCGCTGCCTGGAGCTGGATACCTTCCAAAGCATGGCTGCAGCAGTCACCGCCTCCTCGGAGCACAGGAGCGGGGTTTCTAGGGTGAGGCAATGCGTCTGCAATTCGCAGAGACAAGGCAGTAATTGTAATTGTAGTTCATCATGTGATGACTTATGAAAGAGGAAGTCAGTATGTTTTAGTCACGTAGACTCTGCCCTCCTGCTTCAGGCCCCAGGTCCTCTCAGAAGAGAATTATGATAAGCTCTGCCATTCACAGTCAAGGTTACCAGCGTGGCTGCAGGGGGCTCCCACCCATTCCTCCCGGAACGGGCAGGCTGAGGGCCTTGTGCGGGGCGATGGGGCCGTGGGCTGAGCCTGGCTTTTAACCAGAACGCTGAAATGCTGCCATTCGACTTAAGAACTAAAGGAAATGTTCTATGGGGAACACTCCCACTGAGTGTCTAGAGGAAGCAACAGCCCTTTCCAGCCCTAATTTCTAAGATTAAAAAAAAAGACAAATAAAAATCACAATTTAGAAACAAAAGGAAAGCCATTCAGTATGGTACTGATACGGTAAGAGAAGTAATGGGAAGGTAAACCAGACAGAGCAGCTCTAAGCAGCAGCTCCTGGGAAGGACAGACCTGACCTTCCACACTGTCTCCGTGGGCTTGCGGGGTGGGCGTGGTAACCGTCTAAAATCTGAGCCTGCTTCCTGCAGCCACAAAGCTCTAGTGCTGACCGTTGACAGGGCCCCGTGAAGAAATGGTTCCTCCTAGAGGGCCTGCAGCTGGGGGAGAGTGCCTCCCCCGGCCCCCAGCAACGTGTGGGTGGGCACTGCGAGGGAACCGGTGTTCCCAGGACTGCTGAGTTCATACCTTCACCCTACATCCACGTGTGGAATCGCAGCCTTCATTCTTTAGAGAGCACTCTCTATTAATAGCATGATGTTGCAACCGTACGAGAGCTGCTTAAACTCTGACCTTGGCATATTTGAAGGAGAAAAAAAATGCAGTGACGCGGCCTTTGGATTTCTGTGGCTACCATCCTGGGCTCCTTGTAGTTGAGCAAAGTGCCATAAGACTGAAGGAACCCGTGTGATATTCAGGCATTTTTCCACTTTAAAAAAGATATAAATATGTATTTGAACATTTGTTTATATGAATTCATCTACACATACTATGCAGAGTCAGGACATAAATAGACCTTATGTAAGAGATATAAGAGCCTTCTAAGCAATAGCATTTTATGAGATAATCTTGTTTTTCAAATTGCAAATAGGCTTTTTTAGAAATACTTCCCCTTTGTTGGACCTCTCCCTGTAGCCTGCCTCCCCTGGGCACAGAAAGTCTTCAGATAGCGAAAGCCTTTCGCATGTGGAGGAGATGACTCTCCGTGGAGGGTCTGAGAATCAGGCCAAATAAAGTCCAGGGAGCTCTCACATCAGCCACACATCATGCCCAGAAGCTATTCGTCACCAGCCTCTGTGCAAACGTATGTACAGGTCCCCATTAGAGTAAAATTTGGGGTCTTGATGTAGGTTAACTGCTTTACTGTGTCAGAATTTAACGAGCTGAGTAAAAAAAAAAAAAAAAAAACACAAAGGAGAGATTGAGGTCACACTCGCTCAGTCTGCAAGGAAATTTGTAGGAGAACTGGAAGGGATTCAACAGCCGTTGGATGCCAGAAGCCTCCTATTGACTTTTTGGAAAGAGCATGATGAAATGCACTTTTCTGGAATAATATCTGGATGAGGGTTTAACTTATATTTAAGACACTAAAATCTTTTAAAACATATCACTAGGAAGACAATGACAAAACAGTGAATAACTTCACATGTTTGAAAATATTAAAATGGTAAATTTCCTCTCAGCTTAACATTTTAACTTTCCTACTCATACGTTCAGTAGCGAGGGAACTGAAAAAAAAGAAATGTTATAATTCTAAAAGGTTAAAAATAATATAACTTTGTATTTATTTTATCTTCATATGGACATTTTTAAAAACTATTTCAAGCATAAATTCTATTATTTGCCATCTTTCTTAAGAAACTAAAAACTTAGGCTTTAAAAGGTTAAGTGATTTGCCTAAAATAACACTGAAGGCAAGCGTCAGAACTGAAATCCAGGTGTGAGTCCTATTGTCTAACAATAACATTTTGTTGGCATTTTGCACTTAAAAAAAAAAATCACGTAAGCACAAGAGTGTTAACATTTGTGAGTGTTAATAAAAAGTGTTAAGATTTGCCTATCTATATTTATATTTATAGGAAAAGAAGAAAACCCATGGGTATTTCATAGGACACACAATCCAAAGACAAGGGTTTGGTTACAGCAGGGTGGAGAGGTGA